ACTTGAGTGACGGGCGTGTTGTTTGGGATTACTATTTCATAGGAGTTGTCGGCTTGGTGAATTGCTAGTATTATCTAGCGTGCGTTTACAGCAACCATTCTTTATTTTTTATAATTATATTGTAATTATTTTCAGTAATTTTGAAAATCACAATTTGGGTGTTGCTTAAATCTTCCGAAAAATGTCAACCCCTTGCTCATTTTAGCCAGTTGTACCTGATACAAAAATGGACTAGACATAATAACAGTCATTATACCCCGTCATTTTCAAACTGCAGTTGAAAAAGTGATTCGATCATGGAAGGCACTTTTGATTGAGTCCATCAAACCGTTATAATCGAGTTTTCCGTCTGTGTATCCCTGACGTACTCTCCAACCTCGGTATAAAATCTGAATTTGATACATAATGCACCAGTAATGTAAAAACAACTTTTCGTTTGGCCCAAAACTGTTGCAAAACTGCAGCACCTTCCGCTAAGAAACTTTATTTTGAGCCTTCCCGTCAACGACGAGTTCATTAATACCTGGGGTTACTCAACACTCGGGAGTTGTTTTGCAAATTGCGCTATGTCAGGTGGACTTAGACAGTTATACCAATTTAAAATAACACTTTGAATGTATATACAACATGTAACCTGTAATATATGGTAACCAATGCATGTCGTTTTGAAAACGGCGTTTTACCCGCATCTTGCAAGATAATGGAATGATTCCAATTGTGGGCGTGCCATACAACGGTGCCATCAAGTCTAGATTGGAAAAGACCCAAGTGTTTTGCAAAGTTCGAAGATATATGCTAACTGACTGTCCGAATAATTCTCAGAACGGCTGTAACATTGAGCAAATTTATTGTCCTTGGCATATTTGAGTTCTAATATTTACAATGAATATCATATTTTTATTTTTAGGAGCCAGTAAGAATAGTAGGACCTGTTCCATTTACACCCATCACTGCAAAATTAAACTTCACACTAAATATGCCTGGTGTCTTATTGGTTCATTTGTGCAAGAAGCCAGTTGTTCAGCCAGACCAGGTTAATTTCTCTTTTATGGTTACCATCAAAACAGGTTTCTGTTCTGTAATTCTGTTTTCTAAATTAGAAGCAAATATGCTTATATAAGTGTTGGAGATGATCACTAGTATGTGCTTTAATAGATCTGCATATCTAACTCAAATACAAAACAATAACAATTTATTACATGACAGTCCCTGTCCATTTTCATTGAGGGTTTGTTTAGGAAGCCAGTGTTAGCCAACTTTAATAATAATCTGTGTAGAATTCAGGGCAAATGCATGGGACTATCACTAAATTTTGTATTTTAGTTTGTCTATAGGTGGTTTCAAATCCTCATTGCCTTCACCAATTCGCCTATACAATGTAGCCTAAAAATCAAGTACACTACGACGAGACACAACTACACAAAACAATGTACTGACATTATACTGCATAACACAGGATCCATACTGGATGCAAAATTCATATTTATTTTTTCAGATAATTACATTACATTACATTAAATTAAATTAAAGCAATAAATTCCAGTGTCCTTAGCAAGACAGCAAGCAATAAATTCATTGTCCTTGGCAAGACAGCAGGCAATAAATTCCATTGTTTTTAGCAAGACAGCAAGCAATAAATTCCATTGTTTTTAGCAAGAGGCAAGCAATAAATTCATTGTTCTTAGCTAGACAGCAGGCAATAAATCCCATTGTTCTTAGGCAAGA